CAGCATCATCAGCATCATCATCATCATCATCTTCATCAGCATCATCAGCATCATCATCATCATCATCTTCATCAGCAGCAGCATCATCAGCATCATCAGCATCATCATCATTACTGTGTGAATGTGTTATTCAAAATAATCATATACTGATTTCATAATATTATTTTTTCCTCAATAAACCCTTTTAGCTTGGGGGGAATGTTTTCCCATTTAGACTAATTGTTGAGTATTATTTCTTTATTTCTATTGTTTCTTTCTATTGTTTAATGATTGCACATGATTGCTTTTATGTAAGTCTTTTTCTGTTTTACTTTGTAGGAAACACTGATGGAAACTGAGAAGTATCCTTAGTTTCAAATTATATTGTGCAATAATTTGACAATGTTGTGTAAAATGTTGTATGGTATAGAATACTGCTATCGTAAGTCTGCATTAGCTTATTATCTGTGTATACCTTGACTAAATCTAGATTCAAACAAGCTTTACAGAGAATGTTTAGTGAGGAGGGAAAATCCTGTGTTATTTATGAAAGAAATTTTTACACTCAACACTTGCAGCTTCAGGTTAGTGGAACAAGATCTTCCAGTTCTTTAAGTATTTTTCATTCATTGATCTGTCCATTCATCCATCCATCCATCCATCTGTCCATCCATCCATCCGTCCGTCCGTCCGTTCATCCATCCATCTGTCCATCCGTCCGTCCGTTCATCCATCCATCTGTCCATCTGTCTGTCCGTCCCTCCCCCATCCCTTCCTCCCTCCCTCCCTCCATTTATTTATTCATCCCTTCCTCACTCCATGCACCATCCTTTCATGAATTTATTCATTTGTTCATTCATTTATTCCTCAGTTTGTTGTTCACTATTTTTTCAATTATACATCTTTCTCAGGTTGTTCCCGTTCCAAAAATGGAGGACACATCACTGAAGAAGATATTCAAAGAAGAAGCTGAAATGAGAGGAATGGAAATGAAAGAAATACTAGTGGGAAAACCACTAAGTGAGGTAAGTCATCTCTAGCAATTTTACTGCCTTCACCTTTGTTCTCATAACTCTTGCGTTTGAGGGGTTTGAAGTGAGGGACAAGAGGAAATGAAAGGAGATAAGAGAAGATAAGAAAAGACAAGAGGAGAGGAGAGGAGGGGAGGGGAGGGGAGGGGACCCAAATCCCTCATATTCAGGGTTATTGTTTGTCCTGGTAGTAATTTCTTACCTCATTGTTGTATGATTTCATTTCAAGGCTGTTCCTATTGGTGCACCCTATTTTGTTGTGGAGTTCAATAATGGTGATAGATTGCTACACAGAGTACGAGGCAAGATGGACCTACAGTTCGGCAGGTACTGTACATCCTTTCTTTGTTCCTTTCCTTCTTCTTAACATTCAATTTTAATCTTTTTTATTCAATCCTGAAACAATCCCTGGGTGATCTAAATCAGGGCATGGCTGACTCACAAATAAAATTAGAATTTTGTGTGTTGGGTTTTTGGAGGTAGGAAAACAGAAGAACATGGAGAAAACTACTTAAGTAAATAAATAATAATAAAATAAATTACTTTATTTAAGTATCTAGTCGTTCTAGCACTTTCACACTAATTGGAGACACTTTTCACTCACACGCACTACCACTACATTCAATGTTCTGTGCACACAACGCTCAACTCACATGTTGATTTTTACGGAGGGAGGAAGCCTGAGAACCCGTAGAAAACCCTCGTAGCATAGGAGAGAACAACACATCAAACAAACTCAATTCACATGTGGCAACCATAGGGCTCAAACCAGCGACCAGACCTGTTGGACTCACAGTGGTGATAGACGTGTTAGCTGCGTATGCCACCTTGAATCAAGGGAGAGACCAAACAAACTCTAGTTGCACGTAATGCCAAGTCTAGGAATCAAACCTGAGACCAGAACCTGAACCTCAGAGTAGGGAGCCGAGTGGACTACCTCTCTTTTCATTCTCCCATTCTTTCTTTCATTTTTTCCTTATCCCATCCAGGGAAGTGCTAGCATGTGATGCTATCCTTAACATGCCTGACAGAGCAGATTGGAAAGAGTGTAAGGTCTCCATGGACAGAGAAAAGCAGTTGGCTGGTGCCTTCAGAAAAAGATTCCAGCCTTTTGACTTTAATCTGTAAGTAGATGAAAAACTGTCATCCAACACCTTACATTTGAGCAGGAGTAATGTGAGTCTTGTAGCAGCAAGTAGTGCTCACAGAAGATGCATGTAAAGGGAGCCTATGGAACATGAGTGATTAAATATCTGATACATTTCAGATACAAATGCCATTAATTCTTCATGTATGATTTCATGTTCTGCTAAAATTTAAAAAATCGTTTAAAATAAATATTCGTAGTTCAAGTTTTTTTCACAAAGTTCTGTTGATAAAAATGTGCATGTAGTCAGGGACAACACTACTGAAAATCACAGTACCCACACTTGCTTCCTATCGAATACTTTTGATGTTGTCCCTGATGACATRCATATTTAACTGACAAAATTTGAGAACTGAGAAGCGTAGAATAGGATTTTGTATCAGTTATGCACCTCTCCTTTATAATTAATATTGTTTCATAATAAGAAAAATACCATAGCTATATCACATTTTTTTATTTTTCAATGTTCACAAATATTTTCAGCAAAATTTAATTCCCTAATGTCTGCAAACTTTAGTAATAATCATTATAAATTATTAGATATCTATTTGTTATTAATACCTACACCTGAGAAATAGCAATAGCATCTTTAGGAAGAATTTTATTGAATGACTGACTATACCAAGGAAGGCCACCTCTACCAATTCTACCACACATACTGTTAATAAAGCATCTCAATAATATTGAAATTGAAATAATAATTCAGTTGTCATTCTGAAGCACCTGAATGCGAGGCTGCAGGTGAATCTATTGTCCAAGCCAAGATGGCCGTCACATGAGATAGGTCCATTACAATTTAAAAGAATTTCATTGTTTAAATACTCAAATGTGATTGGCTAATTTGAATGACTATTTGCAGAGTGGCCTTGCTTGGAAATAAAAGCAATTGTAAAGGTGATGTTACACATCACATCATTGTTGCATTAAAAGGTGGCTTCGTGGCAACACAAAATTACTGATAGCAACAATGTTATGAGTTTTTAAACCTCCTTCAAAAACCTGCAGCATGTTGCCTCAACAAAATATTGCTAAAAATCGAAACTGTGTGCCATGCTACACAAGGCCAACTTTTAATGTAACGGTGTTGTGCGAAAAATATTCGTTGCAAATCGTCTTGTGTAACACCACCTTAAGTATACCCCAATCATAACATTCCCTAGATAATTCTTATTTACATATACATTCACTTGAGTAAAGACAGTAATATTAATTTTGTTAATGTTGATGTGTCTTGTTTTGAAGAAGACAAACTAAGAACAAGACAGTTTTTTAGTAGCAGAATAATAAAATGTGTCTGTTCTCAAAATTGAAGAATATGAATCTCTTGTACAGTTCAAAAATAAAAAGATTATGCTACTTTTTATGGAGAATAAAGCATGGATTTGGTAGCAGAATTTTTAGTAACTAGATTGCTTGTGCACTGGTATCTTGTTATCACAAAATGGTTGAGGTGTTTGATACTGGAAGACTTAATAACGATCACACTGGGGAGTTAAAATGAAGGTAAGATTCTAGTCTGCATTGCATTTCAGGACATTCTAGTCTGCATTGCTTGTGCACTGGTATCTTGTTATCACAAAATGTTTGAGGTGTTTGATACTGGAAGTCTGAATAACGATCACACTGGGGAGTTAAAATAAAAGTAAGATTCTAGTCCGCATTTCAGGCTTAGCCCCCAAAAGGTGATTCAGGACAACTAGAATCCCACTAACATTTTACTTTCCCTTTGAAATAGGTACTACATCATGTAGTAACATTAATAACAATGTTAATAATATTGCTCGATATCTTTTGACATAATTTCCTGTCTCATGTGGAATAATCATCAGCTGGATCATAATTTTTCAGTAGCATTCTTCTGGATGACAGCACATGGTGGTCAGTGTGTGCCTGCTATTTAGAGCAGATAATGAGATTTAAAGACTTTCTTATCAGCTGATTGAAACTTGGCAATTCTAGTCAATTTAAAGTGTTTGAAACAGGGAGCCATTTATTTAGCATTTCCAATGAGTTCCCTTATTTATTGATCAGAACTTGCTTTACCTACGCTTCAATAACAATAAGAGTTCTTTACTTGGCTTCCATGCTAATGAAGATATAGAAGGTGGATAATTTGACCAGAATTCATAAGATTATTTATCAAGTAGATTGAGTTTGACTTGGTAGAACACGTAGGGAAAGTATTCCTGTTGTGCCATGATTAAACCTGGAATATCAACCTGAAGCTGATAAAAAAAAACATTTTAAACTGTTAAAAACTGCCTCAAAATATAGTAAAATCCTGGTTACAGACCCCCTGATTATAAGCCACCGTTATTAGAACTGCTAGTCTGCTATTCAAATATTCTTTCAGATATAAGACATCTGTTTATAGCCACATAAGGTAAGACCTAAAAAGGGCGCTGTGTGATGCCTTTCCAGGTAATAGACACACCCCTTGAAATTGTTTTGGATTGGCCACTGTGGTAGGAGTGGACCACAGGACAGATGGATGAAAGACAGATGGATGGCAGGACAGATGGATGGAAGGCATGGATGGCAGGGATGGATGGAAGACAGATGGATGGAAGACAGATGGATGAATGACAGATGGATGGCAGGACAGATGTATGGCAGGTCAGATGGATGGAAGACAGATGGATGAATGACAGATGGATGGCAGGACAGATGTATGGCAGGTCAGATGGATGGAAGACAGATGGATGGCAGGGATGGATGGATGGAAGACAGATGGATGGATGACAGATGGATGGCAGGACAGATGGATGGAAGATATGGATGGCAGGGATGGATGGATGGAAGGGAGGAATGTGATGAAGGGATAGAATAAGCTGGAGAGAGCTACATTATAATAATCATGATTAAATTCTTACATCATTTATGTCAGAGTTGTATGACGTTGATTCCAGATGGCTGTAAGCATAACTCAGAACATCACGAATCTTCTTTTGAGTCTTCTTGGATGGCTAGTGTTAAGAAAAAAACATGGTCTTCAATTTTATTATCTTTTATAAGAAGACACTTCAATAAACAACAATCTGGTCGGAATGAAGAAAATATTATCTCATTGATTCTCTTAAAACTTGGGTAAGACCTCTAGCTAGGGTGTAATGTTTTCCCATCTCAGACCATGTGTCATTCTCTTAGGAATAACATTCTTCGTTTGAGTTTTATCCATATTCATGTGTCTTTTCATGCACAACATTTTCATAAACATGCAAACTCTGCGTATTTTAGTTTCATGCTGAAAAATTTTTTTGTTGCCGCCAGTCAAAAATATGAAAGGTACCGACTGATTAGGTTTGATTGACAGCAGTGAAAAGACAATTTTAGCATGCAGCTCGGAGACACAGAGTTCGCATGTTTGTGGAAATCACAGTAAACAAAGAAATGATACTCAAGAGAATGGCATGGTCTAAAATGGGAAAACATTACGTCCAAAGTAAAAGGGTCCAAAAAAGCAACAATACCCAAGGGAATGATTTGCATTCTGAAATGGGAAAACATTACACCCAAAGTAAAAGGTCCATAAGAGGAATAATACTCAAGGGAATGACGTGGTCGGAAATGGGATACATTACAGCCAAAATAAAAGGGTCTATGAAAGAAATAATACTCAAGGGAATGAAATGGTCTGAGATGGGAACACATTAGAAAGGTCAGAATAAAGGAAATTTTATTTCAATCACCTGTATGAGCATAGCTTGGAAATTGACGGGAAGGCCATACCTAAGAATAATAAAGTATAACGATCATAATTTAAAGACAGGCTTCAAGTTGTAGTATTGTGCATGCTTACATAAAAATAATTTATTCAAAAATTCACAAGTTGTGATTTTCGTTTTTAAGATACCTTAATACAGATTCCACAAAAACAGTAAGTGCCTGAAACATTTAAAAAATATTAATTATGATGCAACTGCAAGGAGAGGGTTAGTGACATGTTTCCATGACAACAGTGCAACTGCATGTAGTATGTGACGTGACAATGAGTAGTTTCAGAAATTATCCATACCCACCCCACAGAGGAATTTGGAATTTCCGAAGAGTAGGGGGTCAGAGAAAAAACGAGAATTACAGAGATCGTATGGAAGAAAATTGGAATTTTTGGGGGGGCAGGGGGGGGGGGGGTGTCTGAAAAAAATTCCTCTGTGAGGGGGGTATGGATAATTTTTGGAACTACACACTATACCTTGACATGGATCCATGCAGTAAAGGCTTCACTAAAGTTCACTCTTAGCCATCTTACTAGTGGACCCTGATGGACAATTAATGGAAAGGAAAATAAATAGAAAAAAATAATAGATTCATAACAGCTTGGGTGTAATCTTTTCCCATTTCTGACACAATCCGAAAGGGAAAAAATTTTGCCCAAGTTAAGATATCCAAAAAGTATAGTTTTTTCCCAGACATGTATGAAAATCAAAATATTTTGAAGACTTACAAATTGTTTCTTTCTTGTTGTTTCAAGCTTTGAAATTTCATTTTTGCCAGCCTCAAGTTCTTTCTCATCGTAAACAAAATCTCTAACCAGGAATCTACAGAAAATAGATCATTGAGGGTTTGACAACATCATTTAGGCTTGGGAAAGGTATGATTTTTATTTGGGGTGGGGAGGGCTGGGAGATTTGTAAGGTATCCCCCTATAACTCAGTAAGAAATTCATGACCCTTCTATTAAATCAACCCTCACCCAGCTTTCATTAAAATAAATTAGGTTTGACCCTGTGTTGACGATACCAAAAACTCACTTGTTGTCTCTTGCATGAAGTTTAAACTCATCAATGACTTTCCTGAACAGAGTGACAGTGAACAGGCCGTGTTCATTATCTTCAAACACTAATCTGATAACACAAAAACAACAAATAAATACCAGTAATTATCTAAGATTATACCTTACTCTCAAGTTGTTAGAGTACAAACACTATAAGTGTGTAACATAAATACCAATAAATACTGCTAAATTATGCTAATCCTATTGTTTTCTATTGTTTAATTAGCACTATTTACTACTAAATAGTGCAAAGTTTTGCACACCTTTAGTGTTTGTAATCTAGTACATGAGAGTTTGCCCTTCACTAACTATTTGATACTAAAAAAATTTCTCACCAAAACCTATACTACTTCCCTTACAAATTTAGATTTTTTTAGTTGAAGTCATAGGCCTACTAAATATGATACTAAGAACACCTTTGGGACAAGGGTATAATATTATCTAATTTCCCACGTTACAACTCACTTGGTAGACTCTGGCACTACCATGTCTGTTAATTTCCAGTATTTGTTTTTCCAGTCACCAAAGAGAACCCTTCAAAAAAACAAAAAAAAACAAAAACAAACAAGACAAACAGTGTTTAGATAATCTTCTAAATCACTTATAAACAGACATTATAATCTTTGATTTTGTTCTATACAGCTATTTCAAAAAATGTTGAATACTGCATACTTTATAACATATTCCAAGACCAAAATGCATTATTTTGGGTCTTATGTAATAATGTCTGAAGTAAGATTATTTATTTCGTTTTAACTGCACTCCATCTGGTTTCCTCCATCTAGCTTGGGTGTTTTGTAATGTTTTCCAATTTTAGCTCACATACAATCCCTTGAGAATAAGATTCTTTGTTTGAGTTGTATAATACTATTAAACAAAGAAATGATACTCTAGCGAATGAAATCTGGTCTGAAATGGGATAACTAAGTTAAAAAATAGTTAAGATACAGACATACTTAGGTACAACTACTAGCAATGTTGTCAGATACTCAGAATCCAGAACAAAATGCTCTTTCTTAACTAGTTCTCCCAGATTTCTTGTGAGCAGACTTCCCCTAAACAGAAAAAAATTAAATCAGTTTTGAAATGACAGGAGCTGGTTATGAACTAGAGAGAGAGTCTAAGGGAATATTTTTACAAACAACCAAGCTATAAATGGCAGTTTAAACCGGAGAATTTTGCTCATTTGCTGGAGCATTCTCCGATACCTGACCCTTAATAAAACCCCTGATTTGAAGATGACACAAAATGATATTGCACCCTTCTGAGCTGTATGCAGGACTGTCAACCCTGAGATATTCAAATCTGAAGAATTGAAGAAGGGACATGACGTCACAGTGAGTCAAAAAGCACGCGAAAAGACGTCTTTCACTTTGTAACATTTGATGTGATTGGTTTATTTCTGACCAATCAGATTATCRCTTATATTACAATGGCCTGCTTGCAAGAACAGTTTATGAGGAACGTTTTGATTTTGTTAGCGATGTAAAATAACACAAACAACATAAAATAATTGGAATATTATGGCTGTGAAAGTCGAGTCTCACAAAAAATGGTCAGCTTCGGGGATTATCCGGGAGATTTGAGACTCTAATCTGGAGACCGGGAGATACAGTCCAAAATCTGGAGACTCCCGGTTTATCCGGGAGAGTTGACAGCCCTGTGTATGTTTTATATTTGTTTCCTTGTGCCTCTTACTTACGTGGATTTTCTTTCAAGAGATGCCAGTGTTCCTTTAATGTTGTTGTAAGCCAGAGCTTTGGACTTCAAGTCATGTTCTATTTGTGTGACTTGCTGTTCCATGAAAAAAAGGAGACATATATAAAACCACTTTACTATACAATATTTAAAAAACTTGATAGAGAGGTAAACTCCAATGATAGTTTAATCATTGTTAAATGCATACCTTGCTGATGATTTCAGTTATATTTCTTAAGGATTGTTTTATAGGGTATTTAGCTGTGTCCCATTGGAATTTAGTGACATAATTTGATAACTCCTCTGAAAAATAAAAGAAGTATTAAACAAGGGTTATACGTGAAAGTTGATTTACATAAAATTCATGACAAAATTGCAAGGTGGAAATGTTTTTTTTAACTTACGTCCATTTGCGAGCAAGTTTTCTTTTACTCGGTCCTAGGATAAAAGATAATTATTATAGCAATAAATTAGATTAGATTTAGATTTGACTGGCAGTAGTGAAAAACCAAATCACCAATCAATCTTGCTGTAAAGCAAGGAGACAGTAACACCAAAGTATAGAGTACAAACACTAAANTGTGAATCTTAGGAAGAAAATAGACGTGAGAAGTACGAGGAGTAATAACAAAAAGGTTTTTAGCAGTGGAGGGTAAAGAGCCATCAGAAATGAAAGAGTTAACAGTGTCTTTAACTAATTTTTGATTGTCAGGGGTAAGATCCTTATCCACTTCACAATAAATATTCTAGTGTTTGTACTCTATCTTAATATATAAATACTGAAACTATGAAAAGAAAAACATACCTGATGTTCTTCCAAAACATCTACCATATAATGAGCTACTTTCCTCGTCACACTGAAAAAGAAATGTTTGGTTTAAATTACTTTTTACTCGTTTACCTGGCCAGCTATTTATTTTATCCAGCTACTCAACCATCTATCTATTTATCCATTCATTAATTTATTCATCGATCCATCCATTAAATCTATTGATTTATCTATCTCACCATGTATATAATCATTGGCTCATTCTTCGTTAATTAACACATTCATTCATTCATCCATCCATTCACTATTCTGATTTATTCACTTTTTATTCCTTCCTCACTCCATCCACTAAATACTTTATGCATTTATCTATCTATTTATTCTTTCATTCATTCATCCTTCCATCCACTTCATCATTTTTCTATCCATCTATTTATTTATTCATACTACATTCATTCATTCATTCATCCATCCATTTACTATTTCAGTTACTCACTCTCTTACTAATCTACAAAAATGGAAACAAAATATGATTAAATTCACCTGTCTACAAATAAATCCAGCTTGTTTAAGTCATCTGACAGCCCAACCAATGTATCCAAAGTACCAACCTAGATGACGATCAAATGACAGAAGAGTAAGACTCAATTATACAGTACCAGATTGAATAACAGTATTAGACAGAAATGAAAAATAAATAAATAAATAAATAAATAAAAATAAAAAACAGCCAATGTTATAATTAAAAAAATCATTAGAAGGATTAAATATATATAATACTCATTTGTATTCTCGTTCAGATCATAGTTAAAAGTTAACTATATTTAAGTATACAACTACTCGTAAGCTAATGGTCACATGACTAGGAGTACGGTATATTATTTTGTACAAATATGTACGAGTGTAATAATTACAGCTATGGGCCAAAAACGTTAGTGAATTTAGTATCAATATATCTGAACGAGGCGTGAACGCTTTAAGATATCGTTTTATCCAGTGATCCTAAAATAGAATGTGACATGTAAGCCTACCTTGAGTTCAGGAATCGAGAATTTCCACACTGGAGAAAGCCCTATCATTCGTGCTTTCAGAGCTTCAAACGTCTGTTGAGGAGTTTTTTCCCCTGGAGCAGAAACGAGCCAATACTCTGCCATAGTTGGATTCACGATCGGGGTTAATATGAGGGTTGAAAACCAAGAAATTTGAAGGATTTCAACACGATTATTGAAGAGAATTCTCGATTCTGTTTTGCTCTTCTTTACGCATGCGTTAGAATCTATCCTCGCGGGCTCATAGTCTTACGAATAAAAATCGATCAAAATTCCAAACTTTTTTTAGTCAATAATAACTCGCTTGGAATCGTGTTTTTCCTTTTTTGGAAATGAAACGACTTCCGGTTGATAATCGGTAAAGTTACGAATAAAAATTATTAATTACGACTTTCTCTACAAACTTTTATTTTTTCCCAGGAAGAGTTATTCCAAAAGCAGTTTTTTAATTTATTTTAATGGCTGCTAAACCCAATAAACAAAACAAGGGGTTATCTCACTTTTTTGCGAAGGACAAGGTAAGTTTCGATTGTATTTTGTTAGTAAATTGAAGCTGAGGCGATAGATCTGTCGCCAAACTAATGCGTGCTATTAATTTGTAAATATATTATTTACTAAAAATTCTAAACATTTGATTTCAAGATTACTGCTATATTCCCCTTTTCAGACATTTATTTATACGTTTAAAAGTTTATTAATAAATTTTGATGATCATCTAGACCTTTAGGCCTAAGAAGAAATTCAGAGAGGGAACTCTTCGACACGAACTTCATAAACATGCCAAGGTAATATTTGAATCGTGCCAAAAGTTTTGTTGCCATGAATAATTCACTTTCATCTCAAAAATATAACTCTCGACTCTTGATTCTGTGATAGTGAACTCATAGGCGTGTAATACCAAGGAGGATAATATATGGGATTTAATAATTGAAAGTTTTAAAGGTTACAGCTGTTAATTGGATAATCGTTTCTATTGTTTTACAGGCCACACTTCATTCGGGGATTTCACTACAGGATTGTGTCAAACTCCCGCCTGGAGAAGATCCAAATGATTGGGTTGCCGTGCACGGTGAATATAAATCACAAAGACTTTAGGATTAACTTTCAATTTTATTTCAAATTCTTTATTTACTAACCGCTCCCCTTCCCTTAAGCCCCGTTTAAACTGGCGATTTTTGCGGCGATTTGTGCTGCGATTTTTGTGGCAATTTTCGGAAATATGAAATCTTTTGTCTCATCCTTCAAAAGAGATATTCGTCTAGGAAAATCTTGGTTTGAATGATTTCATTTCAATTGAATTGAACTTATCCTCGTGATAAAATAAATGAAAGGTCTCTTATGAATATATTTGTCCCATTCTAAAGTATTAAAGCAAAAGCTGGCAAGGTAATGAATGTTAAAATGTATTATTATATAATTACCAATGAAATATCTATTTTTCTCTATTTCGAAAAATTGATATGTTCACACGTGAAAATAACATGTTATTTTCACGTGTGAAAATAACACCATAGCGATGGCTATTCAAAAATACAAGGAAAGAATTGCCTGAAAAAGCCAAAACATACTTCATTGATAAATATATAATAAACAGAATATTACATGGGCGCTTGGAGATACGAAATTTATCTTCTCGTGTTGAAAATCTCTCACTCGTTCGCTGCGCTCACTTGTGAGAGATCTTTTCAACACTCGAAGATAAATTTCGTATCTCCGCGCGCCCATGTAATATCCTCTATTTAATAAATTGTTCTTATTGTTATTTCTGTTTTCTTTTAGTCGTTGACTTTTTTAATCGTGTAAACCTCATTTATGGTACTGTGTCTGAATACTGCACTGATGCCACCTGCCCAACCATGAGTGGAGGACCAAAGTAAGTTCAAACTTAAGATTTAATTGATACCCTAAAATAAACAGCCCCTCGTCTGCAGCTGATCAAAGTCAGGGGATGGCCCATTTAGGCAGAGTGGTCCATTTAGGAATGTYATAGTTCCTTTTAAATTATTTCGTTCTTGTTATTTTATTCTTTATTTTTATGAAATGCGATAATTAAGTTACGAAACTTGTATCATAAAATGTGCATCATTTTATTTTTTAGATATGAATATTTCTGGTGTGATGGTGATAAATACAAAAAACCAGCAGCTGTGCCAGCACGAATGGTAATGTACAATACAATATCCATCAATCCATCTATCCATCCATCCATCCATCCATGGCCATCCTTCCATCCATGGCCATCCTTCCATTCATCCTTCCATTCATCCTTCCATCCATCTATCCATTCATTTCTTTAGAATTGATTTGATTTATCTACCTCTTCCCCCTATTCATTCATTCATGCTTTGCCTATTCATTCTTCCCCTCCATTCATACATTCATTATTCCATTCATTATTTAAAATGTTCTTACTTTGAAATATAAATCTGTGTTTAATCTTACAGTATGTAGCACTGCTTATGGACTGGATTGAGAACATAATCAATAACGAAGACATTTTCCCAGTAGACAAAGGTGTGCCTAACCATAACCTAAATTTTAACAAACCCTGGCACCACCTCTGGACTTATGTAATTCAGGCATGGCTAACTAAATGAAAATAAAAATAAAATAAATAGGATTTAGCAGTGGCATTTCCAGAGAGTGGCTCTTCATCCACTGAAATGCCAATTGGAATTTAGAAGTTGATTTTTGCGGAGGGTGGAAAACTGGAGAACCTGTAAAACCCTTGAAGCACAGAACCAACGAATAACTTTATTCACATATGACACCATGCCCGTCAGGATTCAAACCTTGGTCACACTGCGCTCTCATTGTTGCACCACCCATAGATCGAACTCTAGAACAGCCTCTGGGCTGATCTAAGTTAGGGTACAGCTAACTTACAGTCCCAACTCTGAAACATCCTATGGATTGATCTAACCAAGTTAAGGGCATGGCTAACCCAAATCTTTTTTTTTTTTAATTTTCAGATGTTCCATTTCCTAAAGTTTTTCTTCCATCAGCTAAGAAGATCTTAACCAGACTGTTTAGAGTCTTTGTTCATGTATACATCCATCATTTTGATAAAGTACAAACTTTAGGAGCTGTAAGTAAATTTATTGTACTTCCTTGTAATGGTTGGGATCCATGCATGGTGGGAGAGTACCACAGGAATCCCAATGAATTATTTTTGTCTACACAGGAAGCCCATGTTAATCAATGTTACAAACATTTTTACTACTTTGTGACCGAGCACAAACTGGTGGAGCCAAAAGAACTGGAACCTTTGGTGAGCATTACACACTGAATGATTAATTTATGAGTATTTGTTATTATTATTATCTATTATTATTGTCTTTATTATCATTATTGTTATCATACTCATGATGGTCATCATCATCACCATCAACATCACCATCGTCATCGTCATCCTCATGGATCATCATCGTCATCATCAACAGCAACAACAACAATAATATCTTAATTACCATCATCATCATCATTATCATCATCAACATCATCATCATCATCAACATCATCATCATCATCATCAACAAATACTTAACATCAACCTCAGCATCATTTGAATTATAATCATCTCAAGCATCATTACTATCATATCAGCATCATTACCAACATCACCATCATTAGCAGATCACTGTCATCATCCTTATAAATCATAATCAGTATCAGCACTGCTAGTATCATAACAAACACTATCATTATCATGACCTCAAGCAACAACAATACTGTATTTGTAGTCCATGCATTTCACTTTAATAAAAAAAATTAATTTTATCTTTTCATAGAAAATTATGACAGAAAAAATATGTCTTTGAAGACCAAAGGACAGTGGTATATTTTTATATGGTTGAGTCTTGAAACTGTTTGTTCAATATTACATTCATCAAGATTTTACATTTTTCACAAAAAATAACTCTTGATAATTCCTAAAAATTTGGAAATGACAAAATTATTCTATATTTGTGATTATGATCACAGTTTATAAACTTTTTAAATGTCACGAAGGTTTCTATTATTGAAAATGATATTTGCATTAACTTTATGAAATTATATTTCTAAGATAGTGGTTAGTAAATAAATCTTTTTATTTGTTATGCATACACTTGAGTCCAAAATGGCACACGGCAGGGTGAAATTTAATCATCCAGGGCCAAATTTACAGTATTTTATTCTAATCTTATACTGCAAAATTGTTGTGTTCCTGAATGCTAGAAGGAAAGAAATACAGAACAAGTGTATACTTTGCATTCTAATAGACCTCTTCGGCTCTGATGTAATGTTTTCCCATTTCAGACCACATGTCATTCCCCAGAGTATCATTTCTTTGTTTAAGATTTGCAATCGGTTGCACATGAGAAGACACATGAATATGGATACAGCTTAAACAAAGAATCTTATTCTCAAGGGAATGACATGTGGCCTGAAATGGGAAAATATTACCCCAAGCCGAAGAGGTCTATTGACACCATATTATTTCTTTACATTTTGGCCCCGTATGCATGGTTTTTATGTACACTTGGCCATGCACCATGGTCGGTGTTTTTTCTTACACGCTGAAGTAATTATACAGTAAGGTATAGAATATCTATACTTTTTATGATTTATATGCACCTTGACTGCTTCATAAATATTGTGTGTGCATGTTAAATACTCTTTATGGCTCTGAATCCATCTCAATCCCAAGCCCCATGTACCCCTAAATTTTGCCAAAATAATAAGAAAAAATGGATGGAATCTTGTGGGATGGATGGAAGTTTTTCATTCTTAATCACAGTCCCATTCTTTTTCCATTCCCATTCCATTTGGCCAGTAGTAACCTAAATCCCATCCCCAAATTTATTCTTGGATCAAAAAATATCATTTCCCATTTTATCCCTTCGTGATCAGGATTCTGTCATTGTAAGTTGATATACTCCAAGTGGATAAAACTTCCATTCTTAATGCCAGTTCCATTCTTTCTCCATTTCCATTTCCCAGTAACCTATGTTCCATAATTCCCAATTTTATTTTTGGATGAAAAATTATCATTTCCCATTTTATTCCTTCATAACTATGTAATTGTGAGTTGCTTTCAAATCAGTTTTAAGGTGATTTGTGAACATATTTTACTTTAGAAGATAAATTACAGTAGACCTTTTTCTCAAGGTTGCGTACTCATCCAAATTTAAGAAACTTGACGGGCCACGATACCAGAACAGGAGCTTTATAATGAGAATTATCATACATTTCTATGAGATTTTTGGAAAACAATTCATGACATCGATTATTCTCCTCTTTAAATATAAAACTGGTTTCTCAATTTTACTGAATTTGCATTCTTTAGTTTTTTGGCCTGGCCCATCAAGATTGGATGCGCATGAAAAAAAAAAAAAAAAAAACAGTTTATGCTATGGTTTGTAAAACAGTGTTATAAAATTTTAATATATCTATTTCTACTCACTTTCTTACCCATACATACTCAGGGTCGCTAATTCCTGTAGTATATTTAATTCAATAAATAAAAATAATTTTAGTTTGTCAGTTTATTTACTTTAGTAGAATAATTGCGCTTGCCTGTCAAACATTTAAGTCTTAAATAGATGTTATTAGTAGATATTAATGGTTTTTTTTGGGTGTAGCTACCATTTGACTGGTTTTTTGTCAATGGCATTCGTTCAACTACATGTAGAAATCGTATAATCTCCCCAAAAACATGTTTTTTTTAAGTCTTGATTTTTGGCACAATTTCAGGATAAAATTACTAGTTATGAATATTGGAATAAAAATCACAGAAAAAAAGCTGCAAATTCGGCGTAAAAACGTTCTGCGATCCGCACAATCCAGTTAAGCGAAGTTCATTCCAGTCCACTCATGCTGGGTTCCGGATTTTCCTAAATTAAAAAACCTTCAAAATTCGCAGTCTAGAAGTCTAACCAAAATTTTAGAGGTTGGGCATGTTTTTGCTATATGTTTAGATCATCCCTACCCTTTCAAATACTAAAAATGCCACAATTTTCAATCACTAGATTCCTGATTTTCCAAAAAAAAAAAGAAAGATTTATAAAAAAAAAACAAAACAGCAACCTACTAAGAGAAACTAGGTTGTCTCTTTATTAGAACTTGGGAACTTGGGACAGCTTGATTCCGTGCGCCAACGCTGTGCAAAGATTGCTTGAAGCATTGGAGCGAATACCGCGAAATATCACGTTGAGAAACATCTTCGCCTTCGAATACTCTAGAATTCTTTAATGTCAGCTGATCTTGATCGAGTGCTTTTTGTTTTTGATATATCAGCTGGAAAGCCCTATAGCCAAAATACGTTATTGAAGTTCTAAAAACGATGTGTTATGGCGCATTTAAGAAAACCATTAAATTGTCTGAATTTGGGATGAGTGGGAAATTAAACGCGCCGTAAGCTTGACAGCTATGAATGGCTTTCGTGAATTGAATCAGAAAGAGGTGATAGGTGGAATGTCCAATTGAAATGGTTGAATACTGGTGCTATTTGGACAGCCACACCTAACTATTAAATTAATTATTTTTTTGCATATCCTAGTATCACATTTATATAATAATAAAAGTCTGAAGTCCTCATTTTATTCAGGAAGTGAGCGAGAAAAAACTTTCGTCAAAAAAAAGTTAAAATTTTTTAAGGGACGGTTCGTGAGTTTTCAGAGTTTTCAGTTTCGAGTGGGAGAGTTTTCATTTTAGTGAAAAAGTAAAATGTCTTCGTGGGCGCTGATATTCAAATTTGAATGAAAAAAAAAGAAAGAAAGAAAAGAAAGCAAAAGGAAGGAACGAAGTGAAGCCAGGAAACTTCAAAACACGACGAAAAGAAAAGAAAAAGAAGAAAAAATGTGAAAATTAGGTTGAATTTTTTTCAGTGGGGAGGGATCGGAGGAGCAGCAGAAGTGACGCCTGCAGCCATGAGCGTATGCGGTGGCAGTCATGCGCATTGGGTTGTTAAATAGAGGTACATGAAGTGACGACCAATAATAACAGTAAAATAGCGGGGAACTTTTGACCTGAAAACTTGGCATTTTCGACATGAAAACCTCTCAACTATCGCTAAACCAACATATTTAACCCTATTCTATGCATTTTGAATATCTGGCTGGCTGTCGTTTAGTAAAACGTTAGCTTTTTTCCAAGGTAAGTCATTCAATTGGACTTCACTTCAAATTTTTAATGTCAAATCTCGTGATAAATGAGTCAAGTTTTAAGACTGGATTTTTTTCATTCTTCTGCGCCTCTTATTCTTTGAAATATTACAGTTTATGACCTTTAAGGTCTGTATAATTTTGAGATTTTTACCTGAATATTACTATACTGTTTAAATTCTCGTCGAAAAATATCTCAATACCAGTCAAAATATTTTGCTTCTTCGTTCGTCTTCGCGGTTTAATTGTTAAATACGAATTCCTTTATACGAACTTTTAGTTTTAATTTTTTGTCTTTATTCTACCCAACCTGTTTAGGTAGGCTTACATATTAACTATTAGGTGAACGTTCGGCAAGATTATTTCAAAAGTTTGAATTTGTAAAGTAAGACTTTTCAACTTTTGAAGTTATATGTAGAAGGATCTGGTTCGTTTGGCAAAATTATTCACATAACTGCTTAGTTTTATCGGCGAATTTTTTCCAAAATATTTATCTGGATTACGAAATTGAATGACCTTGGAGTTCATTTGAGACCATAGAAGTTTAAATTATAATGTTTGAATCTAATAATAAACTTGAAACATTTTTGTTTTGAATTTTTGATTAGTTGCTTTAGATACGAACTCATCCAGAACTGAAGCGAAACAATGCTTCACTTTAAGACAATAGAACTATTTCCTACGTGATAAAAGGTTTATCCTTTATAGTATTGATTTTATAGCTTATACTCGAATGTTACAAAATTGTATGGAGCCCCAATTGTAGGATTGAGTTATTCAGAACGATTGTTCTATCGATTTGTAAAATTCTTGAAAATCTGTTAGAAAATTATTAGCTTAGTATATATATACATATATATTATAAGTGTTTTAATAAAATAATCCAATGTAGTCTGTAATTGAATGTGATGGCAGTGAGGGTTGACATTAACACCTATACATACTTTCTAAAAATAAAATTAATGATTTATCGTGATATATTATATTAGTAATCTTTGCTTTGAACATACATGTATATGTGACAATATATTAGCATGTTTCCTATCGTCTGTTCATTCATTATTAGTAAATTTGAGTTTGATTTTTGGATCCTGTTAGTTAGACTATCTTTGTCTAGCAATCTTTAAGTTCAATTATAATGAGGCTAAATGTAATTTAGGGAAGGTTAAAACCGAGACAATTCTGCCCAGCGGCCTCCCACATAGAATCTGGTTAGGGGGGATCTGAGGGGTTTCAGGGGCTTAAAATGTGCTTGCCACTCGATTTAATCCCCTCCTTCTTGCTGATCATCGCGGATCCATCCCGCACTAGCCCAAACATTAATGCTGATCGTTGCGGATCAATATTTACCCACCCACCTCCCTGCTCTAAGTATAGTATAGGTAAGTATTTTCCACTGAGTTTGAGTGTGACAGGTGCCAGGGGGTAGACTTTGGCATGGTTGCCATGGTTACCTCCATGAGGGACTCAGGCTAGCGAGGTCAGTCCTTCTTGTTGGCCCATCCCTAAGCTCATCTATTGGTGACAAGTTTTAATTTGTTATTTCTAATTTTTTTCTTGGTTTTATGCAGAGTATGTTACTACTACATAAATGGAAGGGCATGGCAATTTCTTTGTGCGAGTGTTCTACAACTTTACAGCTAGTAACCCAGATGAACTATCAGGCTTTGAAGGAGATATTGTAAAGGTTAAAAGTCAGGTCAATGAGCATTGGTATGAAGGAGAAATCAATGGCAAAAAGGGACTATTTCCTGTTATTTATACAACAAAGATTGACGACTCCTTACAGTATGATGTATTTGTTGCTAAAGAAACTTATAATGGGATAAGACCCTCCGAGCTCAGCTTTTTGAAAGGCGAAAGAATCAATGTCATTGAAAAAGTTGATGAAAACTGGTGGAGAGGGGAAAGTAGGGGTAAAATAGGAATATTTCCTAACTCTTATGTTGGAAATGAGAATTTATACGATTCTATATGTGGGGACGATCATATGTCTTATCAGAATGGAGGAATATATGGTAACCAGGAAATGTTTTCAGTGCGAGCCTTGTATGACTTTGAAGCAAGAAACCATGAAGAATTAAGCTTTCCCCAAGGAGGAATAATCATAATAACTAAAGATATTGATGTTGATTGGTATGAAGGGAGCTTTGAAGGGAAATCAGGCTTATTTCCTAAGAGTTACGTAGAGCATTGTTCACAAGATATTTACGAAGTTCCACCCAGAGCTTGTGCAACATCCATCTATCCTTTTGTTGGAGAAAGCGATTCTGAGCTAACATTTAAAGAAGGGGAGGTTATATTTCTTCGGAAACGTGCAGGGTCACAGTGGTTAGAAGGAGAGCTTGATGGCAACGTTGGACTTTTCCCAGCCAGCTTCGTTGATGTGGAAATTGACTTACCACCTGAAGAACAAAATGCCGGTCAGACAAATAATGATCATGCAAAGACTGTACAGCCACAGAAAATTCTTTGGAGACAAGGAAACAGAGCAAGGGCTTTGTACCATTTTTCTGCATTGCACACAGGAGATTTAGCCCTAAATGAAGGAGATGTTGTTACTGTTGTACAAGTTGTTGATGATAACTGGATTGAAGGGAAACTTGATAGTGGGGTTTCAGGGATGTGTCCGTCCGCCTACTTAGAACTTGCCGATTTTACACCTAATGGTCACGTGCAAGCTGGTGAAAGCTTGGGTTATAAAGACATAAGACGAGGGTTCGCTGCACAGACAAATCAACCAGCACATATCACATCTAGTAGCATAACAGCAACCCAGGCAGGTAATGGAGGGAAAAGACATTCACAAACTGAAATTAATTTTAGTAAATATTCTGGCCCAAATAAAAGTAGGGCAACAAGAGTGACAAGTGTAGGAGATGATAGATTACTGAAAGCTTCGAATAAGCCCAAACCTGCCCCAAGACCACCCCAGACAAAATCTCAGACACTTGGAGCAGAGAGTAGGACTTCTACAAGAAATCTCTCTAGGAGCTACTCTTCTCAATCAAGCCCCTCCCAACAACAAACTAACAAGGCTTTCTATGCTATTCCTTTTAAAAGCTCACATAATAAGTTCACACCTGTTTCTTTTAACCCATCAAAGTCTAAGAGCAGTGTGGCATATACACAGAAATCATCTATAGCTAACTATGGCTTTGATAGTCAAGATGGTGGACAGAGTATTAGAAAGGGAAGTGAAGGTTGCAGTGGGGATTCACTGTTGGACATGAGTGTCTCGAACAGGGCATCCTCTCTTAACCTCGCTGCTCCCCTAGTGGCTTTACCTTCTAATAGTACCCAATCAGAATCTGGATCTAAGGAGTTACCCATAGTACCTAAGAGAAAGGCTCCACTTCCACCGAAGAGGACAGCTGCTAATGACTATAAATCTTATAGTTTACCAAGGACAAGAGCAAATCAGCCTAACAATACAACTAATATGGATAAATTTTCATCAGAGAGGACGCAGTTTGGTAGCTCACCAAACATTGCGCAACCAAATTTTAAAGACAGTGTTGGATTGCGCCCGACACCAAGGGTGGAGACAGCACATAAAAAACGCCCACCTCCTCCCCCTACAAGGACAAACAAAGACAGACCCAGCAATATCACTAGGTCAGCAACTATATCGTCAGCACGACTTGCAAACTATAAACAGGAGAAGGAGAAGGAAAGTGAGAACAAAAAAGCAAGACCAGCATCTGTTTATTACGTTGGAGAAGATGACGATAAGGTATGTACTTGCTTGGGCCTTTTCTGAGTTTGATAAACAGGATGCATTGTGGTCTAACTTGGGTACAAACAACACTATATAAGGCATCATATAAGGCATCATGAACAAAAGATGTTTGTACCAAAGTTACGCCACAATGTACCATGTTTGCTATCTCAAAAAAGTTTAAGTCAAATGAGAATGACTCCACTCAAATATGAGTGTGTTCCTCGATTATAGATTGATACTGACTCATTTATGCAGGGTGAGCCTCATTTTATTATCAAAATACTAACAAATACCAACAGTAAAATTCCAAACACCCTCATCACTGGAACACATGAATATTCTAAGAAGATATGACTAGCTAAAAACTAGTGTGAGCTGCGTCGGTGTTTCTAATGAAACAGTAATGATAAAAAGGTAAATTATACAACGTGAAAAGAGGAAAAAACTTACTGACGAAGGACTAGCGTCGGAAACGTCAGTTTTTTCATCTTTTCACAGTGTATAATTACCTTTTTATCATTACATGAACATTCTATACAAGTTGAGGCATACCCTGAAAAACATTTTAACCTAAAGTATTATATTTCTTCATGCATGCTCTTGAGAATGATTTGAAAATTTTGTGCATTGCATATATATATATGGATTGAAGGTTGCAAACCGTGACGTCAGGCATTAACAGCAGTGAGAGACATTGCCATAGGGGCACATATATCCCCAACGGCATTACAATATCTCAGGACATAATATTGCCAAATTTGTGACATGCTATTTTGTTTTTGTTTTTGTTTCTCATCAACAGTTTTATAAATCAAATAGTCTGGAGGATATCAGAGCTGCAGGGAAGTCTGGAATGGTCTCTTCACAGTTTGGATCAAATGTTGATCAAGAAGATTCAGCACAGGATCAAGATAGCATTGATTACAACAGTCCTAATATTGGTAAAAAATGAAATCAAGGGTGGTGTAGTCTAGAGTTTACAAGCTGGATCTCTCTCTGGATTGAGAATTATCCCAATTCAATCTGTGGGTTAGCCATGCCCTGACTTAGATCAGCCCAGAGGTTGTTTCAGGGTTCAATCTGTGGGTTAGCCATGCCCTGACTTAGATCAGCCCAGAGGTTGTTTCAGGGTTTGATCTGTGAGTTAACCATGCACTGACTTAGATCAGCCCAGAGATTGTTTCAGGGTTTGATCTGTGAGTTAACCATGCACTGACTTAGATCAGCCCAGAGGTTGTTTCAGGGTTTGATAAAATTTGAAGGATATTAAAATGTTGCCATGATTGGGGAATTGTATGATTTGGCTTGTGCTATTGAGCAGTACTGTTACTGTATTAAGCCAAGTTTTAATTCTAAGGTTTGATTTTGTTATTTATAGTTCAAATTCCTGGAGTTGCTGAATTGAATAAGAAGATAGCTAATGCTGAGCATAACCAGCAGGTATATATTCTATTCCTTTCATTCCATCCTATTCTATCTGTATATCATTCCCATCCATCCATCCATCTATCCCATTCAACCATCCCATGCATCTATCCCACCCACCCACTTATCCATTCATCCATCCATCCATTCATCCATCCCATTCAACCATCCCATGCATCTATCCCACTCACTTATCCATTCATCCATCCATCTATCCATCCATCGCATTTAACCATCCCATCGTCTACCCCACCCATCCCATGAATCTATCCCACCCATCTATCCAACTCATCGATCCAACCCGTCCATTCATTTATCCCATGCATTCTATTCATCCATCCATCCATTTAATAATTAGTTTGTGTGTTTAGGTTGAGTGGAGAGCTTGCTCAGGAATGAAGACTATTTTACAGGTAAAAATTTCTAAATAAAATTATTTAACAGAACATTAAAAAGATTACAGTATCACTTGTTATTGATAAGGCCAAACAAAAAAAAAAGTGTGTTTCCTGTTGCGCGACCGACCCTAATTTTCTTGCCGATTTTTGCTGACCCTAATATTTTTTTCATTCCCAAATGCACCACAGGGTTCCCAGTAAGCTCATTTCTACTGAAAACGAAAAATACCTCGTTGTATCAGTAAAGACAAAAGACAAAAAACCAGACCTACCGACCCCAATTATGTTTCTCATGCAACAGGTAACACACTTATATTTTTGTTTGGCCTAACCTGGTTGCTTCTGTTCATTAAAGATGCTTGTGCATGATCAAGATAAGTACAAGGAAATGGAGGTCAAGATCACTCGCAGCCAACAAAAGATTGCTGAATGGAAGGATATCATTGATGGTTTGAAGGGTAAATACCCAGACCTATGATCTTCTTTTGTATTTGTTTTTTCTATTCTTCATTACTCTTAAATTTCTGGAGTCAGTAACACTTGTGAGTATAAAGTAGTGCTCTAAGTTCCAATTCAATCTATGAGTTAGCCATGGCCTGACTTTGATCAGTCCAAAGGTTCTTTCTATGTCAGGGCAATGTAAGGCTAACTGACAGAACAAATTGTAATTTAGCTGGTTAGGATTTAGGGAGGGAGGAAAACCAGAGAACCTTGAGAAAAAACGGGGCTTGAACTTGGGTCACAGTGGTGAGAGACGACGCATAAGAAGTGCACTCCACCCCTGCTTCCCATGTGATACTGAGTCCAAGAATTTAAGAGGTTAGAGGTGAGGGGCAAGTGTACTACTACTACACCAAGCTTGATTCCCATCTTTAAGATTAAAACTTTCCATTTCACAAACTAAAGCAATTTTGTTGTTTCTCGTAGGTGAAAGAACTTTCCTTATTAAATCGTACCAAAAGCGAAAAACACTAGAGGATAATATATCACTGTTAGAAAGTGACCTACAGGTACATTGATATATAAAGTGCTGTTATTCCTCGTAAGGGTAGTCTGTTACTATCTTTGGAGTCGTTGAGGGGCAGAACTAGGGGAGAGATGGTGGGGGTGTACCCCCTCTCCCAAGAGGTTCTTTGCACCCTGCATAGTTTCCTGTACTATGCATGTGCATCGAAGCAAGCAAGGCAGTGACCTTGCAATAATAGAGGACACCTTTAACAATTAATAGTTATTCACACACCTCTATAATAACTGCAAGGTCATCACCATTCTCACGTCAATGCACAGGCACAGGTACCTTTCAAAGCGGGAACAGGGAACTGTGAAGGGGACTATAAGCTAATGAACTTATACATTGGTTTGTCCTGATAATGAATAGTGTATCCCTTCCTAAGAAATCTAAGGTCAGCCAGACTCCTGTTGCCATTCGTGTAATATGATTCTGAATATTTCTTTTAATTTTTAAAATAAGAAACAAGCAAGGAGTCGTAAAAGTCTGGAAACTCTACTTGAAGTTGTGGAAGATAGCCGCCGTGAAGAAGTACTTGAGAATCTTAGTGTGTGTGATGGAATCATCGATGATCTTAATACAAGCATCAAGGAGTTAGAAGGTATGGAAATTGTTCTCTATTTATTATCTTGATTCTAATTGATGATTTATAGTGATGATGATGATGATGATACATAATGATAGTGATGAATGATGATCAGTGGTGATGATGCATGGTGATGATCATGATGGGGATACTGATGGTGGTGATGGTAGTGTTGATCAGTATTTAATGATGATGATAATGATGATGCATGATGATGATAATGATGATGATGATACATAATGATGCCAGTGATCATGATGGGGATGCTAGTGGTGGTGATGGTATTGTTAATCAGTACTTAATGATGATGATAATAATGATGCATGATGATGCCAATGATCATGATGTGGATGCTAATGGTGATGGTGATAATGAATAATGATGATGAAGATTATCCCAATGATGTATAATGGTAATGATAATGATTGTGCTGCTGATAATCTTGGTGATGATGGTTGTGATAATATTACTTCTTTTGCCACCAGTGGTGATTTTTACAATAAAGTCAAATTTCATAATCCCTTTTCAGATTCATTACAAGGCCTGGACCAGTCTAAACCCAACCCATCCACCCAAAAACACTCTGCAGAACAAAGACAAAAAGTTGTGAATGAACTAATCCACACAGAGCAGGACTACTTGAGAGATCTACAGCTCTGCCTGAAGTACTTTGCCGATGAACTCAAGAACTCCAAGGTAACCATATTGTAGACATAGACCCCTTGCACTGAGTCCTTAGAGGAATTGTTCTGGGAGACAAAACAATGGATTTTTTTTGCATAAGAAAAGATGTCCTATTGTTTTGTCCCCCAGACCAATTCCTCTAGGAAATCCATGCAAGGGATCTATAATCTCCAGTACATGTTTTTCCTGAATTCTGACACTTTTCTAAGCAACCCTAATGGGGTGGAAAAAAGTGATCTCTTATGAGAGATGGTTGTTTACCATGGATTTTAATAACAGTGTTTTTATGGAGAACAAAAAGAAAATTTGTGAAGATGGTTGCTTACAAGTTGGTAGCTTACCAGATGGTTGCTTACGAGAGTGGTCACCTATGAGAGATTTTAATAACAAAAATGTCATTATGGAAAACAAAGTGGGAATTTGTGAAAGTGGTCATTTAAAGGGGCACTTGGATGAAAACGCCTCAATTTTTGAAAATCTGAATAATTGAAGTATACAAGGATAATATGAATCAATTATGATTAATGAACATTTTAGCCTAGGAGCCATTTGCAGTTGAGAAATTTTGGTTCAAAAGCAGAAAGAACAATACGGTTGAGTAAATGACATCATTTACTCACAATTTAGATGCTGAATAAAACTGATAATTTTTATCTGATTCATTTTACTGTAAAGAAAATATGTTGCTTGGCACCATATAGATACGTTTAACTTAGTTTAAAAGTCATTTACAATTTTTATCCATCTTCATTCAAGTGCCCCTTTAAGGGAAATGGTTGCTTACAAGGGTGATTGTTTAAATAGAGTCGACTGTATGTGACACAAATATCAATCAATCAATCAATCCTTTATTTGTCAAAGCAGGTTAGGTTTACAAAATTTTAAAACAAATATTGCATCGACAGCCAATGGCTGATGTGGACCTCAATCTCATGAGAACCTATTGTTATGTCCTCAAAATTGAGCTGCATTCTGACTTACGTACTGCAAGGGGTCTATTCACAGGTCAACCATAAGGCACAACAGCAATCAAGTGTAATGTTTAGTATATAGCTTCATTTTCTATCCCTAGATTGTGGAAGCAGATATTCTTTTTGGTAATATGAAATCTGTAATCGAAACATCTAGCAAGCTGTTGAGTAGATTTGAACAGGCTGTGAGAGGAAAGGATGTGGAGCAGCAAGAGCTTGGTGAGTATTGTTTAATGCCGAGCAGTCTGTCCATCACTTTGTCATCACTCAGTCTACCAGTTAATAAGCTCATCACTTGATTTGTCAACCAATAACTGTTGTTGGTGGTGGGGGAATAGACCTCTTTAGATTGGGCGTAATTCACCATTTTCCATACATCGGTTCACTGGTCAAACACAAAACATTCAGTTGAGGTTGCAAGGTTCAAATTTGGATAATCCTTTGAAAGTACCTTGGTGCCTCGCTTGAGCGCTTTGTGTTTGACCAGTGAACCAATGTATGGAAAATGGTAAATGCTTTGCCCCTTTGCAGACCTTGTGTCATTCCCTAGAGTATCATTTCTTTGTTTAATGGTTTTGCATGAGAAACACAATAATTGATTCATGTGGGATTCCTGTGGATTTGGCGGGAAAATGGTACACTGCCCCCCCACCCCACCCATGATGGGGACCTCGCTATGCCCCTGGTTACAACCCAAACAATGAATAGTAATCTCAAGAGAATGCAAATGGTCTAAAATGGGAAAATATCATGCCTAGTAAAAAGGTTTATTTGTTGTTTGGTAAATCAGTGTCAGTCAGTCACCCACCCACCCACTCTCTCTCTCTCTCTCTCTCTTTTACCTATCCATCATTCAACTCCATTCAATCAATCAATCAATCAGTCACTTAACTCAATGTTGTTTGTTTGTGTATGTAATATTCGCCTATTAACCCTTACTAGTCATTTTTATATTCAATCATAAATTAATAATTTTCACATATTTCTATTCTTACCACCAGGAAAATGTTTTGTGGACTTGGCAGATGAAATCAAAGATGTTTATGCTCAGTACTGCAGAAACCATGATGATGCTATTAGTTTACTAGAAAAGGTATCTAAAAGACCTCTAACAACACTCAAAAAAAGTGCCTTGTGATGTTTGGAATTTATCTATGAAAATGGGTGGCACAATCATACAAAAGTGGGCTTGGCTTTCATAGGAAAACTCAGGACTATTCCACAGTTAGGTGATTTTCGTAGTCAGCTCAAAAGAAGTTCCAGGGTATTGATAAAATTTGTGGTTTTTTAAGGTACTATTGGGTTAAGTCTTCCTATGGATTTTGGTATGACAAATTGAATGGATAAAAGGGCGGAGCATTAGTCAAAAATTCAAAATATCGTAGCATTTGATGGATCTTGGTATATACTCGGAACTGAAATATGGTGACCAATAATTTGAATAACTATTGCTTTGCACCGACTAGCCTCTCATACATGTGTAAAACTGGCCTCTCATAGCCTTTTCTATTTTTCATGTKAACATAACGCTAGTCAGTCCAGAACAATAGTTATTCAAATTGGTCACCATATTTCAAATTGGTGTATGTAAATACATTTTTCCTCTCTAACTTCAGTATGAGGAAGTACCAGAAGCACAAGAAGTATTCAACAAGTGCCTCAAAGCCATAAGGTATGAAATCATTGCAAGTCAACCACTCGCAGATATTAAAAAATAAATTCAACTTGCATCACATTGCACCAACTTAGTCTCCCTTTTCTTTGCCTCAATGAACATACCACTGTATTGCATTATTTCATTCATTATCCCATTTAACTTTATTCCATCCATCCATTCATTTTTTAATTTTTCCATTCATTTACTTTAGGGACAGTACCAAGTGTTGGGATTTGTCATCATTTCTCATCAAGCCTGTCCAGAGAGTCCTCAAGTATCCTTTACTCCTGAGTGAACTGCTTAAGGTATGTCTTGGAAAGTAAAGTGGTGTGTGATGCCAGAGCAGTTTTCGTATGACTGTGAAAAGCTCTCAACATGAACCAGTTGTGACACAGCAAGGCATACACCAGACCAATCATATTGCACGAGAATTTACTCTCCATCCAATCAAATACCCGGAACACGGCATAAACATGGCAAGAACAAGGTCACGCTAAAGTCAAAGCACCATCAGACTAATCACATTGAACAAGATAATAATCAGCCAATTAAAATTCTAGAAACATCATTGTAGCGGCATGGCATGCTTATGGCACTGAGCTTTTCAAAGTCATACGAAGACTGCTATACTATTTCACCACACACCAGTGGTCATTGGTTTGAGCCTGAGACCTGCCATCAAATGTGAACTGAGTTGTTTGTTGGTTCTCTCTCCTGTGCTTTGAGGGTTTTCTCCTGGTTATCCAGTTTTCGTCCCTCAGCAAAAATCAAGTTCTAACTTTTATTTTGATTCAGGATTGAGTGTTTTAGCTATGAAGACTTGATACTGACACCTGGTGACAGTGTTATTGGATAAGATTTAAGTTTTGGTTAAGTTTCAGTATCAATTAATTGATAATCTATAATAATTAAATATCATTCCAGTATACTCCTGAGATTCACAAAGACAAGCAAAACCTTATCAAAGCAATTCATGTCATGACTGATGTGGCGACAGCTATTAATGAAGTGAAAAGAAGAAAGGACATAGGTAAAGACCATTTGTATCAGGCTGTGGTGGTGACGGTTGTGATGATGATGATGATGAAAAATGATGATGATGAATATGGTGATGATGATGATGTGGCAACAGCTATTAATGAAGTGAAAAGAAGAAAGGACGTAGGTAAAGACCATTTGTTGTGGTGGTGATGGTTGTGATGATGATGATGAATAATGATGATCATGATGATTATGGTGATGATGATGATGACTGATGTGGCGACAGCTATTAATGAAGTGAAAAGAAGAAAGGACATAGGTAAAGACCATTATTTTTGTTGTGGTGGTGATGGTTGTTATGATAATGATAAATAATGATGATGAATATGGTGATGATGATGATGATGTGGCAACAGCTATTAATGAAGCGAAAAGAAGAAAGGACAGGTAAAGACCATTTGTATCAGGTTGCAGTGATTATGGTGATGATGATCATGATGATGAGTATATAATAATGTAATAATTCTTTTATTTCTATTAATGTGTGTTAATAAATAAAAAGTTCAAAAAGTTCAAAGTATAGTGATGATGATGATGATGGAGGTATGGGTGATGATGATGTGGTGACAGCTATAGTCTATTAATGAAGTGAAAAGAAGAAAGGACATAGGTAAAGACCATTGGTTGTAGTGGTGATGGTTGTGATGGTGCTGCTGATGATAATGATTAATGATGGTGATAATGATGATGGCGGTGTTGATGTTGATGGATGATGATGATGGCAGATAATTCCGGAGTTGATGAAGATGAGGATGATTTACATTCATTTGGTGGTATTGATGATGGTTTTGAAGATCATCATTGTTTTTTGATGATGATGATGATGGTGGTGGTATTGATGATGATGATGATGATGGCTGATAATTCCAGAGTTGATGAAGATGAGGATGATTCACATTAACTTGTTTACTCATTAGTTGTGTTTTTTTCAGTCTTAAAGTACAAGAGAGTGGAAGACAGTGGTATCTCGAATAAAATCCAAAAGTTGAACTGGCATTCAGTGTTAAAGAAATCTTCAAGATTTAACCAGAGGATTACACAATTCACAGGACTTGTTTCTCAGGTAGGTTTTACTGCTGTTTTGGTTTCGCTGTTTTTCAATACTCTGTGAACTCAGAGATTTCAAGTGCTTGTTGTGAAATCGTTTTTTTTACTGCCACCAGTCAAGAACATAAAAGGTATCGACTGATTATGTTTGATTGACAGCAGTGAAAAAAAAATTTTCAGCGTTCAACTCCTACTACCGTGTTTGCAGAAAATAGAAAATCGTAGTAATAAAACATGTGAGAGGAATAATTTTTTTCATTGATTCATTTTCATATGATATCTTTGGTTACTGTATTTATATTATTTTCTATTCCATGCTAGACTGTAGACAAACAATTTAATGAAGAGGAAAAGAGGTTTACTGCTTTGGAAAAAGCAGTTAAGAATTTAATAAAAAATGTTACAGCCTACATGGAACAGTTTCAGGTAATGTATAGTATTGTAAGACACTCTTGACAAAATTTGTCTTTCCACCCATCCCTCTATCCATCCATTCATTTATCCCCTCATATCTGTCACCAATTCCATTCTATTATGTAGTTATTTTCATTCTATCCCATCCACTTATTCTTCTGTCCCATTCAATCCACCTGTTTATCCAGTATGTCATCCCATCCATCTATCCATTCATCCATATCCAATCCAACTATTCCATCCTTTGCCATCCATTCATCTATCCATTTATCCTATCACATCCATCCATCCATCCATCCATCCATCCATCCATCCATCCATCCATCCATCCATCCATCCATCCATCCATCCATCCACCCACCCACCTATCTACCTAAAGGACTGTTTTGTTTGATTGTATATGTAGGAAATAGGCAAGCACCAGTATACAAATGGTGAGAACATTGAAGAATACTACATGGAAGCATTAACCTGTACAGAAGTGACAATGTACAAGTCAACCATGACTAGAATAACAGATGTACTTCTTGCTTCATTTGTAAGTCATATATTTGACCGACTATTTGGATTTAACTAAACCAATTAGTCCTCTCGCCCTCATAGCCTATGAGTCAATAGCTCATTCAGGCTCGAGGACGTATTTCTAATTGTTTTATTAATGTTTTTACAGATGACAGATGTTCAGAAATTAGTGTTGTCTCCCCTTAACATTCTGCTATCAAAGTTTCAAGGCCCTCAAAGGCTGATCTTGAAAAGAGAACACAAATGTCTGGATTATGACAGCCGCTCAAATAAGATTGAGAAGATCAGAGACGGGGATAAACTCAAGGCTGTAAGTCTATGGATAAATGACTATCATCATCATCTTCAATATCATCATCATCGTCATCATCACTGTCATCATCTCTATCGTCATCATCATCATCATCTTCACTATCATCATCATCACTGTACATGTCATCATCTTCATCGTCATCATCATCGTCATCATCTTCACTTTCATCATCATCATCGCCACCATCAGTCATCATTAACATCATGCATCACCATCATTATTACCATCATCATCATCATCATAACCATCATCATCATCTTCACTATCATCATCGTTGTTGTCATCATCATCATCACTGTCATCATCTGTTTATTGATCATATTAATTTTGTATGAATACTTTTTCAGGCAAAAGCAGAGCTTCAAAGTGCTAAGAAAGACTATGAAGCATTGAATGCTCAGTTACTAGAAGATCTTCCCCTCTTCTACGACAAAACAGTCAGCCTCGTAAAAGACTGTATCCTGAACTTTAGTCAAGCTAAGAGAACCTTTCATGCCATCATGCTAGGAGAATACACAAACCTTATGCTGGTACAGTATATAATCTACTCTTAAACTATAATATTCTGACTGTGCATTACCTTGTTGTGGCTGTGTCGGTCCATTTAGAGGGGGCTAACATGCAAAAACTAGACATTGTACTCACCCCTTGAATATGATTCGGTTCTCTATCATTGATGCTTGGAAAGATTGACATTGCGCTATCCCTTGATTAATTATTCCATTTCATTATACGACACAAATATTGTTTCTTAAATTAGATAGTTCCTTGTTGGTTGTTGTTACATTCATGATAATTTGTCTTATCAACCATAAATTTAATACATATATTCCGAGCTTTCGGCCTACTGGGCCATCCTCAGGGAAATGAAAAACGTTACATATTGACAAAGAAAAATGCAATCAAACCATGGCATATGTGCGCGCCCATTAAATTTAACAAATTCGCGTGCTCTTAGGAAAAAAAAAAAAAAAACAAATTAATTAATTAATTAAAAATAAATAAGTGAATAAAAAACATACACATATAATAATAATAAATGATAATAAATAAATAATAATAAATAGATAATTAGTTGAGATTTCTGCGGGGCTTTAAAAAATAATCTCACTTTCACTCATAAAATCATCCGGTTGTAATACACAACTAGCAGTGTAATAGCTATAATATATCGTTAATTTACAGATGCCACTGGTAAAGGAAGAGGGTGACATCGTTGAGCATCAAGCAACTCAAACACGTAAAGTAATAGAAAAGTTTGCTGATCTTTCGATTATTCCAAGTCAGTTTTTGGGTAAAGAGATTCTGAAAAAAAGAAGAGAAGCTAAGAAACATCCCTTGATTCCTCTCTTGCCTGTAAGTGATTTTAGTACAATTTTTATCTGGAAATTTTTCTGCAATTTTAATGTTGCTCTATATAACAATAAAATGGCAGCTAAAACAACAGCAGCAGCAGCAATGACAACAACAAGAGCAGTAATTATAGCAGCAACAGCAGCAATGACAACAATATCAGCAGCAATGACAACAACAACAGCAGCAATGACAATATCAGCAGCAATGACAACAACAACAGCAGCAATGACAACAACAGCAGTAATGACAACAACAACAGCAGCAATGACAACAACAACAGCAGCAGTGACAACAACAACAGCAGCAATGACAACAACAACAGCAGCAATGACAACAACAACAGCAGCAATGACAACAACAACAGCAGCAGTGACAACAACATCAGCAGCAATGACGACAACAACAGCAGCAGTGACAACAACATCAGCAGCAATGACAACAACAACAGCAGCAATGACAACAACAACAGCATCAGCAATGACTACAACAACAGCAGTAGCAATGATAACAACAACAGCAGCAATGACAGGAGCAACAGCAGCAATGACAACCACAACAGCAGCAATGACAGGAGCAACAGCAGCAATGACAACCACAACAGCAGCAATGACAGGAGCAACAGCAGCAGCAACAATGATAGCAGCAATGGCAACAACAACAACAGCTTTAACAATGACAACATAACACTCACTCGTAGCATCAGCACTGGCAACAACAACAGCGATAACACAATTAGTCCTTGATATCCCTAAACCTTAAAAACAAGTTAAATAAGTTTTGTCTATTTTTTACAGGCCTCTACAGGTGACATGACACCAGAGCAGCCAGAAGACAAAACACAGAGTCGTGAACGTATAGGAAGTCTTTCTAAGAAACGAATGGCACCTCCACCACCACCCCGGTCAGTAAATGCTTCTACACCTATCAAAGGACAAAGTGTAGATCAATCAAAGCCTGCTCCAAAGAAACAAAGTGCACCTCAGGTAAATACACCTCCGTTGTGAGGAGAGGAGGGGGAGGGTGAGGGGAGGGGAGGTAACATTAAGGTCTGGAAAATCCAGGGATTAAACCTTATTCACTGGAAAACTTGGGCCAGAAAAGAAAGTGTAGCATTAGAAGCAAAATTACCTTGGGACATTAAAGATTATAACCAATCAAAGATGCTTTTCTTTTGTAGTTCCTTAGCATTTCAACACATTAGCCAATCAAATAATATTTTCTTTGCAGCCCTTAGCCTTTGAAAGCATAAGCCAATCAAAGACAGTATCTTTGAAAGTTAACCATCCTTTGAGAACATTAACCAATCAAATCTGTTTTTCTATCCAGGTTCCTCAGCCTCTAATTCCTGTAGACATAACCCCGAGTAACTTTGAACCATATGTAGTAGTTTGTAGCTTTGAAGCACAGAATCCTGGTGAACTGCCCTTAAATGAAGGTGAGCTGGTCACTATACAGAGACAGTGTGACAGCAGTGGTAACCCTGAATGGTGGTTGGTTTCCTGTGCAGGGGTTTCTGGTTACGTCCCAAGTTCATTTCTTGAGAAGTACTCCCAATATAGTGAAGAGGATCAGGCTTGCAGTGATTCTGATGATGAAGATGATGACGATGATGATGATGCTGTCATAGAATCCCAACAAACTACTGTTGAACCAAAGGAAAAATTAAACTATTATGCACAGTTTGAATTTGAAGCAACTAGTTCGGCAGAGCTGAGCTTGGACGTGGGTCAGATAGTAAGTGTGCTACAACAACACGATTTGGAGGGCAACTCAGAATGGTGGCTGGTGGAAACTGAAGGCAAGAAAGGTTATGTTGCTGCTAACTTTCTCGCTCCCCTTGAAGATTAATTAATATGGTACTACTTGAGAAATCATTCGAAATCTTTTCAGTTACAAAGTAATAGACTGTCTCGGCTCTGGCATAGTGTTTTCCCATTTCAGACCACGTCATTCTCTTGAGAATAAGATYCTTTGTTTGAGCTGTATCCATATTCATGTGTCTTCTCATTGGCAGCCGTGCGCAACCATTAAATAAAGAAATGATACTCAAGGGAATGACGCATGGTCTGAAATGGAAAAAAATTCCTTAATGCGCCTGAGCCGAGGTCTATAGACTCCTTGCATGTGACATCAAAGCAGCTGAATTTGGAGGACAAAACAAAATAATTCCAATCTCCTGAGAATTTGAAACCTATTGTTATGTCCTCCATATTGGGCTGCATTCTGATGTGCTGCAAGGGGTCTTTTGCTTTTATTTAAGCTTTTTTCTACTTGGGGCTATTGATGACTCTTCAAACTCCAGTGTATGTGGGCTTAGCCTCCAATCCAGGCTCAGTGGTTATCTTCAAATATATTTACCTTGCTGCTTGAAGACTCGTGGCTCGGTAAATATTCACCAATAATTGCTTTGCCTTTGGTGAATAATGTTAAATACATAACTTTAAAATATTAATTTCTATTATATTGAATTCGAACTCGAGTGTAAATGAATCACAATGCAGTATTCATAAAATTGAATTATTTTTGGAGCTATTTGTAGATAAAGTCTAATTGAATTGTAAGATATAACAAAATAGTTACAAAGTAAGTAATGAAAATATTGAAAAATTTTCAGAAAACACAACACCATTTTGTACTAGTTCTATAAGAGCAAGCCATCAGTAGAGTGATTTCATTTAACCTGTGAAACGAAAGTTACTTTTTATTACATATTACCACTGAGAAAACAAAAGAAAACAATGCAAATAAGATTTATAACCTCTTTTCTAGAGTGAATGCATTTAACCCATGAAATAAACTATTAGTCACCGTGTAATAGTCAAATAGACACAAAAGAAATCAATGGAATTAGGATCTACTAATGTGTATTAGGCCTAGGGCAAACGTCGAACTTTCCATGCACCGAACTTAATTACATCAAAGAATGCCGCCTCATTATCACCTGATATCCATTGTTTTTAATGAGTTCGGTGCATGGAAAGTTCGACGTTTACCCTAGGCCTTAGTCTAATATCTATTTCACGGGTTAAATGACTTCACTCTATCCTTTTTCCACTTTAAGTTCCTCTATTAGTCTACCATTTCACCAGTTAAGTAACATTTGCTAACCTTTATTAGTGTACTATTTCACAGGTTAAGTAAAACCATTTTAAGATCCTCTAACCTCTATTAGTCTACCATTTCACGGGTTAAGACCATTCTAAGATAGTCTACTAACTTTATTTACAATTTAAGTAAAACCACTACAATATAGGTAAATCATTTGGCATCTAGAAGTTGCAATGTAATAAAACTTAGAGACGTATTAGCTGGAGGCGGAACTACAAGACATAATTCACCACTTCGGTGCTAGCTGTCATGTGATATAAATGGTGTTGGGTTGTGTTACGGTCACCAAAAAGTTCGGACATTGTTCTCAGATTTCACGTACAAGTGTACTGGCTTTTAAACAAATTATCTACTTGGTTTGCTTATCTGTTTCTCTAAATAGCAGTAAGAAAAGCTTGAATAAAGTTAGAAAAATGATACTTTGCTTGTTTTTTAGGGGGCTAACAAAACAAATCAAGTAAATAAGTTGTTTAAAAGTCAGTGCATTCCTTCGGAAATTCAAGAACAATGTCTGAACTGTTTGGTGACCATGACACAATCCAATACAATTTATACCATGTGACAGCTAGTGCCGAAGTGGTGAATTATCCCCTACTTATTGAACAAGATATTTAAAAGTTGTTATGCTCACATATAGACCAAAAGATGTCTGTGCACCACTGCAAATTGACAAACTATCCATTTAACAAACACAATTAAACTATTTTAAACATTTATTTCACTTTGTAATATACATCAGAAGTTCCACATAGTATTATATAATTAATACCCACTAAACAAAGAAAATAAAGATAGGTTTTTACAATTAATATTTTATTATCGTTTTTAGTTATTTTCAGTTTGACATACACTTTCAGCTTCAATGGGTGTCAGTAATATTTTTCCATAGGTATTTTCTGATAGAGAACATGATGCATTATGGTCTAGCTTGGGTAAAAACTCTATCATATTGGCACCCACTACTCAATGCTTGGGACCTGGTTTAAGTAAGAAGATTGAAACACCCTAGCATAATCCCTGCCACCCATATATACTTAGCTGGAGGTCATGAATAATGCCATTGCAGATCTCATAAAATCCTAGGAATATTTTTTGTAGTAGCAGTTGGGGCACAAATTTAATGCTCACCAACTTGCAAAATGCAGGTGAAATTCTGTATTTAGCAAGTGACAAAAAAATTTAACTAACTAAGTTTGCGAGTATGACTACAGTCCAGAAATTGAAGGACTGAAAAGTTTAGAACCCGCATCAAGTAATGTTTGTTATTCACCACTCCAATCGCTAGTGACTTTGAAATTTTTGCTAATGAGAACAAAACTTACTAGCAAGGTTTTGCAAATTAATATGCCCTGGCAGTGCAATTTAAAATATTTTGGCAACTGCAAGCACTAAAGGAAATTTCCCTACAGAGAGGGAAAAAAACCTCTGCTCGCAGGGTACTCTTGTTCTTATGACCTTGACAACTTCATGTCCTAGCTCTGAGTTCTTGACTTCATCGATTATCATTCATCAAATTTCTAACTTGAACTATTTTGAAATTAACTGAGGGTGGCCAAATATAACAGAGAAAAGCACTCCAATTGGATTACTATTGTCTTGATGGAAGTCCAATAGAATTCAACACTCGATCCTTAATCAGTGGATCAAAGCAACCGTAACAATTTTCAAACATACACTGTGGTTTGCTGTATTCCAGTAGTTTCTGAGGGCCAACAGTAAGGAAATGTTCCATGCTGTAACCAACACAAGTGATGTTCTGTTCCTGATAATCATCCGATTCCTGGCAGACATAAACTTTTCCTGTTGTCTTGCCTACAAATAATCCCTGGTGAAAAAAAGTCATCAAGATTGAAAAGAAATAAAAAATTTATGTAAACTTTAGTCATACAAGTGGTTTTTTGTGGTTGCTTTGCTTTCAATCTAGTTAATGATTTTCATGAATTTTCAGGAAATATGAAGCATACTATAGTTTTGAGTGGGTGGTCTGGACTAATAAAAATCCCCCCTCCCTCCCTACCCCAAAAATAATCAATATGGATGGAAACATGGGAAAACCCATCCATTGTGGTCGGCCGGTCATCCAAATAGTCATCTTATAATAAGAACAACTTGAATTCTACAAGACAGGAAGTGACGTTTGTTGAAATCAATTTGCTAGTTCAGGCGACTCTCCTTTCCAGATTTTTTCACAGATATAATCTTATCCCCAAGGGAAACTTACTCGCCCGTTTAATTAATAAAAATACAAGCTAAATTCGGAATTCCTTCTAAGATCGGTCGTTCTAGTTCGTCTTTCTGCTCTCAAAGGTCAGATGGAGTACGTATTGATTAAGCTTAGCGCCTCATGACTAAACATTCTTTAGTACAACTATTTCAAAACAGCTGTTTTCTTCCTAAAGCAACACCTCGATTCCTTAGCAAATCGATTMAATTATAAATCTTTACGTTTAACTTTCCCCCGGTCAATATATAACTGGTACTAAATTCACATAACCTTATATTTATTTAAGCTTTACTAGTAAACTCGAGAAGTGTGTAGTTTATCGTGAAGTTGCACACGTTCTTCACTCCGATGTTGACACATGAATCTGACAGCATGCGACACTAAATATTCGTACTAATCTTTATAGAAACCATATCAACCTACCTCCAAAGGAAAAGGAAGACTTCCTTGAAGAATAGCTATTTGTGCAACATCTTCATTAATGTAGTGTTTTTTCCATATTTCCAGAGTAAAATCATCAAACAGCGCAGTGGCTTCCCTTCCCGCGAAAATTATAACTCGGTTTAACCCATTTATGGACAATTTCTTGAACTTAAAATCTTCCAGAAACCCTGAAAGATTTTGGTAGTCGTTGACGTCTAGGTTGCTAAGTCTTTTGAAGAAATCTTCTCGGTTGATGTCTTTGTCGTGCAGGTCGAACGCGCTTGATACAATGACGCCCGCCATTTTGTAGTCATACAACCTGGCAGTCGTGCCCGAAATAACAGATGAACGCTTTATCTTTGAAGCTTGCTGCGACGATAGTTAGCTTTTGTCTTTGACTAATGTCTCCAAAAGCTTTAGATCGACAAGAAAATCATAACATATCGATTGATAATGAATATACGCGGACCATACCCTTGTAGAGTTCAAATTGATCAACATATACATCGATATTGGAACCCTAATGAATCCCGGTCAAATATTTTACGACATTAATTTATTATGCAAATGTATACGTATTTAATTGAAAAGTGCTAAATGTTTTTTACGACATAAAGGGAGGGTTTTCTGATATTATCAAGCGCTAAATAAGGCTATTCTCCCAACAACAAAATAATATTTTTTTGCTACGGCCAATTTTTTCGAAAGCCATTTTGTGTCGATCCATGCTATGAAAACGAAAAAACAAGTCATATGATTTTGATTATTTATACATTACGTAGTTTTACTGCAAAAATTTAAAGAATTTTTAACGGCTTTTTCATCAAAAATATGAAATAGTAATGATGTACATACTATAGTAAAGGAAAGAAAGAAAATATAATTATTAAAGTAATGCACATTTGTTTACGTGAAAAATTTGTGGGAAGCCATTGAACTGTCAATGATATAAAAACGAGAGTGGTAAAAAATCTTTCACGATTACTGTTTGTTAATTTTATTATTTTTCCATTTCTTTTAAATAAACGATAGAGAAATAAAGTAACTTTCAACAACGACAAAAATGCGAGAAGAAGTTTAACTTTTAATGTAAAGAGAAATCGTCGCAAACTGATGAGGAATTTATTAACTTTTCAACTGATTTTATTTCAGGTTTTTTGAAAGCTTAAATGTTATCTAAAAGTTCAAATGCTTGAATAACTTGTTAGTAGGTCTGGTTATAGATAAACAAAACAAATCAAATTACTTGAAATTAAAACAACTGTAATTGATATAAATATCAGAGATCGTAAAATTATGCAACCAACAAAGAATGTTATTGATAAAAATTTTTCCATAAATAAGCTTGATAAATAAATTTGATAAAATAGAATATTCTGAGATCACAAGAAGAACATACACTTATAAACTAGTATTCCTATAAAGAAAATAATTCAAAAATAATTGACTGTTGTCTGGATTATAGCACGAAAAAATTGGCGATGCCATGACGTCATTTTGCTATGGTAAAATAAGCATAGACTGCAAAAGAAATGCTTCAATGCACTTACAAAAGTTACATTCTCGTAGGAATACTATTAGTCACAGATATAACAGAAAGAGAACATCCTATTTTTAAAATATTTAAAATTCGATACATTTTTTTTAGAATTTTATATTAATATCTCATTTCTGCGTTTAAAATTAAATTATAAAATTAAATTTTTTTGGCATGCGTTTTTTAATATCTTAATAAGAGTAAGAGTTTCTCTACGGTTTTTGAAATGTGTATTTTTTTTCGTAGTATTTTTGGCATATTTTGAGTCTGAGCAAATATTTCTACCAAATATTTATGCAAATGATGTAAACATGGCGGCGATCACGTGACCCAAGCCCTTTCCTCGACGGACATTTTTAAACAAACGCGAAACGAGTCAAAATGGCGCCGGCGAAGGTCAACCAAGAAGAACACAAAAAATATGGAAGAAATATCTTATAGTTAGTGAGGCTCAAATGCCAAGGTATGTCCAAGAAGGCTAACGAAGCAAGAACATACAACATTTCAGTCGTAGGACTGTCTGGTTTGGATAAGGACCAGTGTTTGTATGGTGTTGGCAAGTCTTGTCTTTGCAATCGCTTTGTGAGGCCGTTAGCCGATGACTTCATCACAGATCATACTTCGGTCTTCAGTACGTCGGATTTTGGTGGTAGAGTCATCAATAATGACTCCTTTTTGTACTGGGGTACTACTACGAAGGTAGCAGAAGACGGAACGGAGTATAGATTTAATGTTATTGAGCAAACTGAGTTGATAGATGATGCTTCTCTTATGCCGCTCGCTCGTGGTGTGCCCTACCCTAAACGAGCAACCACTACTAAGCTCAGCTCACCAGAAAAACTTATGTACATCAGTAGAGAGCAAGTGGCACTTCAGAACGATTACCCACAAGTTCTTTTCCCCACTGGAAAGCTAACAGTTGATGGATTTTTGGTGGTTTACGATGTGGAGGCGACTAACGCCAAGCGACTGGAAGAAGCGCAAGAACGCTTTCTTTCTACGCTTCTCTCTCTCGTTCAAAAAACTAAGCGACCTTTCGTGATTGTGGCCAACAAATGCGATGACACACAGCTGAGTCTCTTACAAGAAGTTTATAGATTCATTCAATCTAAAAAAATCAATTCTCCCATAGTTGAATGTTCGGCTATCGAAGATGTGAATGTAGACTTGGGTTTCGTTGTGCTTGCTCAGCTAATCGATAAGGGAAAAGTCCGCTCTAAGTTAATACCGTACTCAGAAGCTCACAAAACACACCAAGAAATGATGGAAAAAATCTTACAGGAATACCAGGCTCTGATCAACAGAACTGTATCGGACTTTAAGTGTCTCTGGAAGGACGTGAAGAAGGAAATCGAGGGGAAAACCGAGTACCAAAATTACAAAGACCACTATGGGTCTGAAAGTTGTAAAAAATTATTTACCAAACACATACGAAAGCTTCGACGAGAGTTCGAAGAAAGAAAGCTCATGGAATATTTATTAAAGCTTCCACATGCTCTAGATGATCTCGTACCTACTATGAGTTCCCTAGAATTGTGTCAATATAACTGGGACATTTGTCAGAAGTTGATCAGGAACCACAAGGACTTAAGCAAATGGATGATCGTGTTGGACGAGAACACTGTATGGAACGAAAGTGAGCACTTATTCAGTGTTGATTCTAGGATTCCATTTGATGTTTTATCATTACCCGAGGCGAAACAAGCCTTCCAGATTCATATCGACAAGCTAAAGGAGGCTGAAAAAGGAGTGAGGATGAGGAATGAGTTCAGGAAACTTTTGGAGTTGACACCGCAGATTCGACCTGGGAGTGAATGGGCAGAAATCGAAGGCATTTTGCAGAACGAAGAGAGCTTTAAATATTTGAAAGATACCGATCGAAGAGAAATATTTAATTCATACCTAAGTGATATTGCCGAGAATGCCAAGGCTGATTTTCAAGAGTTACTATTTGAGTCAGCTAGCTGTTTTACCAAGCTAGAACCTAATGCTACTACCCCATCCGAGGATGATATGAAGGCTATCTATGCTAGTCTATGTCTGGATGACAGATATAGACGGCTGGATAAACTGGAAAATGCTCGGAAAATACGAATTCTAAACCACATTGCTCTACTAAACAGCAGTTCAAGATGTCTGTGTGGACCAGAAAAATGCAGCGATCGTCTGATGCAAGAAATAGTGGCTACTACAGCACACGGGTAAGAATAGACAATGAAAATCATGCCTTATGTTTTCAGTAGGGTCTTATTCCTTACTCCTGGTTTGATTATCAATTTCGGGTTCTTATAACCAGGAGTATGGACTGTTATTAACATGGTTAGCATATCCATGCAGCGTGACTCACTATTATGTTGGTACAAATATTTACTAAAAACTTAAGGAAGTCTAGATATGAATGGATTGTAATACCTTTTTCAAACAGCCTTCACCACCACAAACCTCTACTCTACTTATCTTAGCATTTTCTTCAAAAAAAATTATTCATATTTTGAGTATAAAAATATAATTGATTTTATTCATCATCATCATTAATGTCTATTTCATTCACATTAATATTCCTATAATCTATACAAAATTTAGATAACCTTAAACATACAGTATGTGTTATTTTGTTCAGAATTTTAGCACTTTAATCGTTTTTGCATAGTAAGTACTGTCTAAGCATTTATTTTAATCCCTGGTGAAATAATGTATATATTGGCCTTACCCCACAAAGATCTTAAAAAGATTTGTCATAAAGTATATTGTATTTCTTTGTTAGACATTGATCTTGAATTAATAGTAAAACATGATGAGTTGTTAGATGAACATAAAGCGAATGCATATTATTCCAAGGTCTATATAATGTATTCAAGCATGCAATTATTCCTACGAATTACTCATGATATTGGCTTATTGATCTGAAGTTTTCTTTCACATTTTTTTGGTGGTTTGGCTACACCCTTATGGCAGGAAATCACTTACCTACCTTGCTGTTATAAATGCAACTTAATCTGACGATATTCAAACAATGATTATTGTCATCTTAGCTCAGTTTTTTCCTGAAGTCTACGAGCAATCAGCATGGAACATAAATAACGAACTCATAGAATGTTCCAAATTGTTCCCTAAATGATTTTGTTGACAATATTGAATTGATTGACGCTTTGTGAAGATAGAATATGTGTTTATGTTATTACTTAGATCATTTTCTTTCTACACTCCATAAAAACACTTAGACAGACTTTACAGTTTGTAAATATTTCATCAGTAAATTTGATATTTCTAAATTTATGAGCCATAAATTTTGTGGTTCAGTTCACATGTCTAGCAGCAAAGCACATGCTCAAACAAGAGAAACAGACAATTTTGTGTCTCAATTCTGAATTTTTTCATTGTTTTATTGTAATCACTCTAAAAAACATTAGCACTCAATCAAATAACATTCTTTGATGCCTAAAAATTGAATTTTAAGAGGAAAAAGCAATCAAATGCAAATTAATTATGGTATCAATAGACTGCAGCATGACTTGAGAACATTTTTTGCTCTCTAAATGCTAGGATTGTAGAATTTCTAAGCACACGATGACAGACACATGTAATACATACCTGAAAGGCATATAACGCATGTGTCAATATCAGCAACTGGTCACAAAATGAGTTGACGCAATCCAGAATAATAGTAGTCACCTCTATAACTTGATATCAGATCTAGTGATATACTGATATATTTTGAATATTCTAGCCTTAATTATTCACATACTATGTTCTAATTACACAGCTTATATGATCATTTTTTTGTACACTATTTGTCATCCCTTGTTTAAATTGATGTAATTAAATTCAGACATCAAAAATAATTCAACCAGCAATTTGTAATTAAAATGTCTGGTTTGAAGACTCTAGCTGGTGATAACTGACACAGAAAACAATTGAAGGGGGTTTTATTTGATTCTACCAAGATAACAGACCTTAAAAACATTTACTCTGCTCTGTTTTCTTTGCATTTCTAAAGTAAAATATCTCAACTGAGTTGTATATTTTTAAGAATGATTCACTCACTACTAATAGGTTACAAAGTCTGTATCTTGAATATTTGAAATGGTTAACAATATTTACTTGATGTTCATTTTATAGAAGGGTCATGTTTGAATGATTTCATATCAGGCAATTCAGAACAATCATTGGTGATATGAAAATTCTTTTCCTCTGTCTAACCAGAGTTCTAATTCAGATAATGTTTCAGACATCATTGAGACATTTTGTTATCTTATCTAGGAAGCAGTAGTCACAGACTATCCTTTTAACTTCGATAACAAACCCAAACTCATTTAGAATTTATGAAATGTCTATCTAGCATTGTATTTTTTAAGTTATTATTGAAAAATAATATAGGTATTACTGCCACTAGAAATATTTCGTGAATTTATCCCAAGAATCTGCATAATGTTGATTATGACATTCAGATGAGTCATTATATATATCAATGCAATAGTTCTATGTACAAATGGTTTTTATATATAGATCCCATTAGCCAGGTACTATTTTGTTTACTCGCTGTCTAAACTGTTCTTAAGTCATAGGATTAGGAGCTACATACTGTTCTTACATTATAGCCACTTAAACATTATCTAGGAATCAAGATAATGTGTTAATCCCTTGGGAATTAAAGCTTAGTGTGGTCCTCTACCTTGTTTGTTGACATAACGCTTAGGAATGAATTTATACTCAAAACAAACAGAGCTGATCTGTTAGACACTGGAATTAATCTTGCACCATAAAGTCCTTTGTGAAAGCCATACTCTTTAGCCGTAGTACAGCAACAACGAAAACGTCTTGTCTTGTCCCTTAGAGACTCAAATGTGTACGACATTTGATTTCTTATTTTTGTAGTCAAAAAAGAATGAAAAGAAAGAAAAGGAAAGAGAGATAGAAAGAATGAAAGATAGTTAAAATTAAAGTTGGATAAAAATATGGCCTGATACTAATCTAAGCTTTCAGCATTCTATGACATCATCAGATAATGAATAAGAAGAGCAAATGCCTAGATACATATTGTGTGAGATAGAATAGTGGATAGAATATTTACGTTAAAATATTCACTTTGACATCTTTATTCCTTTTGTCTTGTAATTATCACTTATTATTCTTAGATATTGTTATCTCATTCAGTAACAACCTCGAGGTGCAAGGTATCAATTGTACTAGATACCCTATTGAATGACCCTTGCTTTTTAGACCTTCATCCTAGTAAAGTTATTCTAGCAATCCATTAGGATATGTTTATTGTATTGTCAGGAGAGAGATTTTTATATGACATGATTGTTCTCATAATATTGATATAATATTCTCTATGACAGACTTTATCATTAACCATAACAGTTGTTATTTAATTAGCATTAAACATGCCGAAACAATGGGCATTTGCCTAATCCATGAGGAAATTTTTCTTAGCTTGTTTTCTCAAATTATGCTAGAAATATTGTGTGATAAAAATATTCTGTTTCCTGTCACACCATGTTACATTACCATCATTTTATTATTCATTCAGGGTTGATATAATATAAGTGTGATAAAGTTGTGAATAAAAACCAATGAAGTGATTCGATGTCACTTAATGTTCAACTAAAAACTGTAAATTTTGTCACTGTATTGACCCTAAATGTGTAATAAACAAATTGTTGCATGTTAAGAGCCTGATATCTTTTTTATTCACTTGTTTTCCATATCATATCACTCACTTTATACTCACCTATCACCTATCCTGTCACAACACGCCACATCATGTCACAGACTCTTACATCAATTCACTGTACAATTATTTACATTTCCTTCATTCTATTTCAGACCGGAGTACTCTGGAAGTGATGAGACTCTTGACAGTGAAGACAGCCAGCTCAGTATTGTGGTGTTAGGCAGTGATGGACTCGCGGACGCCCTCTCCAAGGAAATTCAGGTATATATAGTATCACTAAACAATAACAGTATACTCATTTCTATGCTTCACGTATCCACAAGTTAAAAATGTAGGACTCTGACAAGAGCAATGCTACTTTTCATCCAGACATTGTGATTCCTGGACTCGGCAGAAAGTTAATATACTGTAGCTCATTGCCTTGTTTGGAAATGTTGTCTGTGGGCTCTTCAGTTTTCCTCTTTTCTCGTAACCTAACAAGCTAAATTCCAAGAGGTTGTTTCATGCTCAATCTTTGAGTTGGCCATGCCCTAACTCAGATCAGCTCAGATGTTGTTTCAGGGTACATTTGATTTGTGAATTAGCCGTGCCCTGACTTAGACCAGCCCAGAGGTTGTTTCAGGGTTCAATCTGTGAGTAAGCCATGCCCTGACTTAGACCAGCCCAGAGGTTGTTTCAGGTTATTGACAAATTTTGAAAAGTGTTAGAGACCATTTCTCTCTCTTATTCTTGCAGGCACAGTGTTCTTATGGGGGAGAAGGCCTAGAGTATGTTCTTGATGGACGCCTGTATGAGTTAGACTTGAGGGTGGTAGATGGAGATGTGGACATACCAGAATATGCAATAACCAATGCAGATAATACACCTCATGGTAAGATACCACAGATAACACTCAACTATATGCGTTTTGGCACACCCAACACAAGATTAACATAATAATATATATATATTAATTTTTTTATTAATATTTTAAATATTTTTTGCTATTACTGTTGCTAGTTTTTCTTTTCTTTTTCTTTTTTTTCTTTTTTAGGCAACCATCGGTTAACTTGATTATATATGCCTTACAACATAGTGTGCCACACCCAACACAGCAACTATATGCAAGATTAACTTGATTATATATGTGCTTTACAGCTTAGTGTGCCACACCCAACACAGCAACTACATGCAAGATTAACTTGATTATATATATGCTTTACGGCATAGTGTGCCACACCCAACACAGCAACTATATGCAAGATTAACTTGATTATATATATG